ACCTTTGGCATCCTTCAGAGTATTTACTTTTTAAAGGCTTTATAACCTTTATTATAAATGTTAATGAACAAGGTAATTAGAGAACTTTTGGAAAATCTAGAAAAGACAGAAAAAAGAAACTCATAATTCCACCAGTTTTTAACAAAAGAATAGAAAGTAGAAAGTGAAAGGTCCCCCATTTCCCCAAAGGTAACCATTGTAAACAACTTCATGTCTCTTTCCAGACATTTGTTTGCATTTGCTACTAAACCCACATGTAGGTGTGCATATGGTTTTTAAAATGAAAATATTAATAATCTGCAGTTTGCATTCTTTTCTCCAAATATTGTAACATGAACCTCTTTATAAGGTAATCTATAATGTTGTCTTCTCTTTAAAGAAATTTTAGAAACTGTGTATTATTGCATAACTTTGCTAGCTAGAGTTTCTTAGAATCAGTACAACTTAAATTTTTGCAAAGATTTTTTAAGCGAGATGTAAATCGTATGCAATAAATTGCACAAATCTTAAGGTACAGCTTGATGAATTTTTACATATGTATATACACACCAATGAAACCACCACCCAAATAAATATATAGAATATTTCTGTCATCTACAAAGTTCCCTTTGTGCCCTCTCCCAATCAGTTTCCCCCATAGGCAACCAGTGTTTCTGATTAGTTTTGCCTATTCTAGAACTTTGTATAAATACAGTTTGTACTCCCTTCACTGAGCATAATATCTGTGAGATTCATCTAGCTATCATCTTAATGTTTAGTTATTTCATTTCTTATTCTATAGTCTGTATTTGTTTAAAAACAAAATAGCATCACATTTTTCTTGTTAAACACACTGCTTGTTAAAAATAGAATACAATTGGGTATAAAGTTGAACATGAAATTACCCTGTGTCCAATTTCCCATCCAATGCATTGACAATCGTTTACGTCTATGTAAAATTGTCATACTTTTTAAAAACTTACAAAAGTACATCTTAACAGAGTTTGGCTGCTTTCTTTGTAAAGTTACATTAAAGTTGTCTTTGTTTGTCAGTATGTACAGAGCTGCCTCATTCTTTAGCAGGTACTCGGTATTGTGTGGTCAGGTGTGGATGTACTTTCAGATAATTGAAAGTTCGTCAGTGTTACAAATGCTGCTACAATAAATATCTCTGCACTCATATCTTCATGCGCTTGTGCGAGTTTTACGTGTAGAATTGGAATTGTGGGGCCAAAGGTGTCTGTGCATTAAAACACATTTTTTTAGTGAACTGAATTTTCTGTATTGAGGATTAATTGACACGTGATAAACTGCACATATTTAAAGTTCAATTTGGTGTATTTTGACGTTTGTGTACACATGAAACCATCATCTCAATCAAGATAATGAATGTATGTGTCACCCCTATAGGTTTCTTTGTTCACTTTGTAATCCCTGCTTCCTGACCCTCCCTGCCCCCTCAGTGGAATGGATACAATCAAATTGCTCCCTCCGGGAAGACTATACCTATTTATGTTCTAACAGCACATGAGAATGATTGTTTTCCCACAGTCTCACTAGTGATAAGATTTTCAGATTTTAAAACATTTACTGATCTAATAGTAAGAAAGAGAAATTCAAGAATTTCACAGGTTCACCTTTTGAGAATTGTGAATTTATTTCCGAAAGTGGGAACTTTCAAGGAAAGCCTCACAGAGGAGGCAGCATTTACTGCCTTGTGACTTGATCAACCTGTAAAGCTACAGTCCAGGGGAGGTCAGAGCTGGGTACCCCTAAGAAGTGGGGCCATGCCTTGTACACAGTAGGTGCTTAATAAATCTTTATTGCCTTAACTGTGCTTTAGTTTAATTAACTACGCTCTCGCTTGGATAGAGAGATCTGGGACCCAGCTTGAAGTCTGGGCTACTGGGACATCTCCTCTCCTGGCTACAGGAACAAAGCAGCTGCCTCGGCATGAAGGCTGCAGGAGGCCCCCCGACACGCAGGAATTCCATCTTGGGCGGAGATGACACGTCTGGAAACTCCTTCCGGATGTTCCAGGTGGAGTTTGGAGAGGCTGAAGAGAGATCCCCCAGCAGAGCCACTGGGGCTGAGGGGATTCCCCTCCTAACACAAAGGGCAAGATGTGGGAACGTGTAGAAGCTGGCGTGACCTCAAAGTCTAAGGAGAAAGGTGAGAGTTAAGTCATCACCAGGCACATAGTGGGTGTTCAGTAAATTTTTGGAAGGAGGGAAGAAGAAAGAGTCTGCCTTAGAGGGCCATCTGTAAAAATAGAAAGAAAGGAAAAGACATCCCAGGGGAGGGCATGTCAGGTAATGGTTTACCGCTGAATACAATGTGCCCCCTTCCACCTTCTTGATGACTAAGATGCTGGTCTGTTTCAGTGAGCCAGGTTCAGTTCTCACTGCTGCTTTCTTCTTTCCCAGCACTGCCTTGTGAGGGCTCTGCCCTTCCTCAGGAAGAGGAGAAAATGCCCAAATTACAGGTGAGTTGGAGTCTACCTTCTCTTCCTGGAAATATCACCTCCATACTTCATTTTGAGGACTGAGGAAAGAGAGCAATATAACACACATAGCATGCTGGTCCTGTTATTCCATTTTCTCTATTTAATCCTCAAAATAGCTGTCTGAGCATTGCTGGTAGGAGTGCAAAATGGTATAATATACTTTGGAAAACAATTTCAGAGTTTCTTATGAAATTAAACACCTAATTACCATTGACCCAGAAATCCCACTGTACGTATTTACCAGAAGAAATGAAAACATATGTCCATACAAAAATCTGTACGTAATTATTCATAGCAGCTTTATTCATAATTGCCCCAAACTGAAAACAACCCAAATGTCTATCAGCTGGTAAATGGATAAACAAAATGTGTTAATCCATATAATTAAGAACTACTCAGTAATAAAAAAAAAAAAGGAACAAAGTACTGATACACATAACAACATGAATGAATTTCAAAAGCATTATGCTGAGAAAAGCCACACACAAAAGAATACGTGCAATATGATTTCATTTATGTGAAATTCTAGAACAGGTTCAATTAATCTACAGTGACAGCAGATCAGTGGTTGTTGGGAGCAGGGGCAGGGATCAACTGGGAACAGCATAAGGGAGCTTTCTGGGGTGATGGAAATGATCTGTATCATGATTGGTGTGTGAGTTACACAGGGGTATCCTTTTGTCAAAATTCATTAACTGGTATACTTAAGATTCATGTAATTCACTATGTGTGAATTGTACCTAATTTAGAAAAAATCTGTACATAGAAACACCCATGAAAAACAACTTCTCTCTTTCAAAAAAAAAAAATCTGTATGGTGTTGAGGACATCCCTATTTTAGAGAAGAGGAAAGAAGATCAGAGAAGGTAATTTTTTTTGCCCAGCATCATCTATTTGGCCTCTTCGACTTTGCACAAACGCACTGTCTTGGCTGCCTTGACATTCTGCTTGCCCCCATGTGCTCCCATCATCCTCATCCTGTGAGATACCAGCTCTTTGTAAACCTTCTGTCCACATTCCCTATTTGACAGGCTTAATATTTATTCCAAGAGGCCAGGCTGCTGGGCTCTGACCCCTGTCTGTTGTCTGATCTTTGCACCATCCCTGACTCCCCCTCCTAGCTGTTCTAGGTCTTCCCCTCTCCGTGCTCTGAACAACCCCCTCCCCAGGAGGGAACCCCACCTTCCCCACAGTGGTAGCCACTATTCTGACTTCTAGTACTGTAGATTAGTTTTGCCTGATTTTGAACTTTATTTAATGGAATCACATAGTATGTACTCTTTTGTGTCTGGCTTTTTTCAATATCACGTTGTGAGATTGACCCATGTTGTTGCATGTAGTTGTGGTTTGTTCATTTTCATTTTTGCATAGCAATAGTCTAAAACTTTTTACTTTTAGGACCCCTTTACACTTTTAAAAACAGCTTTTGTTACATGGGTTATCAATATTACCGTATTAGAAGTTGAAACTAACAAAATTTTAAAATATTTATTAATCCATTCAAAAATAAATCCATTACACATTAATACCACATTTTATGAAAAATACTTACTTTTCCAAAACAAAAAAAACATTTAAAGAGAAGAATGGAAATGTTTTACATTTTTTGTATTAATGTTTGGCTTAATGGAAGACAGCTGGAATCTCATATCTGCTTCCATATTTTCTCTGTTCCAAGATCACATGTCATGTAGCCTCTGGAAAACTCCTCATATACTTGTGAAAGAATGATAGTGAATAAGCCCAATAATATCTTAGAATTATTATGAAAATAATTATTGACTTTACAGACCCCTCTGATAGTGTTTTAGGGAATCTCAGGGGTCCCTGGACCACACTTTAGAACTGCTACTGAATATTAATCCATTATGTGACTGTACCACAGATCATATATCCTTTCTACTGTGGATGTGTGGGTGGGGATTTTGGGTTCAGAATAAACGTTGTTAATACATAATCATCAGAGAGAGGTTTCCTAGATTGCATTTCTCCTTACTGTTGATACATGTCTTGCCCCTTCCAACGCAACGTCCACTCCCTTTTCTTGCAGCTGGAATGCCCCACCTCCCTTTCCTCTATTCGCATTTTAACCATCCCACAAGGCTGATACCTGGCTTTCTCCATGGCACCTGTGTTGGTGGCCCCAGCCCACCGTGGGCTCCTCCTTCTTTGGACCCTTTCCTGAGTGAATCTTAAGCTTATTCTCCTGATTCCTAGAGTGTGGTGTGGACAGCACCTCTGGAATCGTGTAGCTTTTGGTATACTCTCATTGAAGTTTGAGCCTTCTCACCAAAGAACCCTTAAGGGCTGGAGAGTTTAAAAATGTGCCTCATGTATCTTTGCGATCTTCTATATAATATAACACAAACAGGTGCATGGATGCATGCCTAAATTAGCCTACCTCGGGACCCTGGAAACTGCCAGGACCACTTACAGTTGTCAGAATTCACGGGTACTTGTCAGCTGCAGACCTCTATGGGAATGCGTATGTCTGAGGGTGACTCTGTTGTTTTAGGAGCTGGTGACATTCAAGGATGTGGCTGTGGACTTTACCCAGGAGGAATGGGAGCATCTGGACCCCTCACAGAGGCACCTGTACCTAGAAGTGACGTTGGAGAACTATGGGAATCTCATCTCCTTGGGTGAGAACAGCGTCTGAGTGGTTAATTTTATGGATTAAATCCTGAGGGGGTTTGCATTTGGGGGTCCACATATTCCAGATCTCTTATGGCAGTGGGTATCAGACTTGAGAGTTTATAAAAGTACCTGAGAGGATGGTTAGAAAGTGCCAGTTCCTGTCCAAATTAAAGGAGACTAGAGAGACATGACAAGTAAATGCAGTACTTTATCCTGGGTAAAAAATCTCCAGGAAAAGAGTGCTAAACAGGACATAATTGAGACAATTGGTATCATTTGCAAGTTAACTATAGTTTGGATAATAATACTGTGTCAATGTGAAGTTACCTGATTTTGATGGCTGTACTGTGGTTATGAAGGAGGATGTCCTTGTTCTTAGGAAATATATACTCAAGAATTTAGTCATAGAGAGCCATGGGGCCTGTAACTTTCTCTCAAATGGTTTAGAAAAAAATCATGCATGTGTGTAGAGAGAGAATAATAAAGTAAATGGGCCAAATACTAACAATTGGTAAATATGGATTAGGGTTCTAGGGTGTTCTTGGTATTATTCTTGCCACTTTTCTGTAAAATAAAATGTTATCCAAAAACCTATGTCCCTAGGTTCTATCATCAGGGCTACTGATTCAGTGGATTTGGGATGGAGTCTGCATTTTTGACAAGTCTCTTCAAACCACACTTTGCACAGAATCATTACTGCCTGTTCAGTCCATTGAGAATTATTACTGTGTTACATTGCAAGTGGGCCTCTTCACTGAAGTTCCCTGGAACCTTTTTGTTTTGGAAAATATACATATATGTGTGTGTATATATATAAGTAAATATAAAAGGCAGTATTAATGTGTAATGGATTCTTTCACCTTTCACAGTCTTGAGAGGACCTTCACGAATACCAAGGGCTAAGATTTTACTTGTGGGAGGGTCCTTGTCCACATCACAGTGCCATAATCCTTGGGTCTTTCCCCTCAAGCAGGGCATCTGCTGCCCAAACTAGAAGAGATTTTCCATTTTGAACAAGAAGATGATGTGTGGATGGAGGAAGAAATACCAAGAAGCTCCTATTCAGGTGAGAACCAGTCAGCCAGGAGTAAATGCTGTCAGTAACCCTATGAATCCATGAGGGGATGGGTAGCAACTTTAAAAATACATATTATTTGACTTTTTATGCTGATAATTTAATTGAAAATATTTAAATGTTTATTTGATTAGAGATAAATATCTTTTTAAATAAAAACATTAAGTGCCCGAGTTCCTCAAATGCTCTTAGAACCAGCCTTACCATCTTATTAGTTCCTCATTAAAATTTTTGACAGATGTTGACTCCACATTTGTGTGAAAGTTATGTTTTTAACTTCTAGTAATTACGCTTTGACAACATTAACCTATTTGTAGCTCATAGAGTTTGACTTGGTGGTTCTAGTAACTTTTAGTTTCCTTGATTAAGGAAAAGGTCCCCAGTACCTTCCCCTTCCCCATGAAGCAAAAATGAAAAACCTAAAGCCAGGAGGACAGAGACCAGCAGCCCAACACTTCTGCACTCAGTGAAGTTTCTTTGCCTTACCAGTACTGCCTGAGTGTCCAGGAGCCCCCTTCAGCCTCAGACAAAACCTCTGCTCACTTTCATCATCTAGTTTTCTTTGTCCCAGGGGTTAGGGATGAGAATGATGAGATTCTCCCTTGGCAAGTACCTCCAGGAGAAAAACCCTATTGCTGTCCCCAGTGTGACCAAGACTTCCAACAGATCAGAAACCTTCTAATTCACCAGTGAACCCATATGGGAGAGAAGCCCTCTCCATATAATGGATCTGGAAAAGCCTTCAGTGAAATGACAACAGACTGTAACCTTCCCATGCTTCTCCCAGGAGAAAAGCCCTCCCAATGTACGGAGTGTTCCAGAGTCTTCACCTCAGAATCTGCTCTGAGAAGGCACAAGAAGGACCTCAGGGGAAAGAAGCTTCACACGTATGAGGAATGTGGGAAGGACGTCAGCCGCGGCTCCAACCTGTCCATCCACCGGCGAGTACACACAGGCGAGAAGCCCTACAGATGTGCTGTGTGTGAGAAGAACTTCAGCCGCAGCTCCAACCTCTCCATCCACCAGCGCATCCACACGGGCGAGAAGCCCTTCCGGTGCTGTGACTGTGGCAAGGACTTTAGCCGCAGGGCAGCCCTGCAGATCCACCAGAGCGTCCACACAGGAAGGAAGCCCCATGCCTGTGAGGTATGTGACCGCAGCTTCACCTCACGCTCCATGCTGGCACGACACCAGCAGGACCATGCAGGGGACAAGGCCTATGTGTGTGACACGTGTGGCTGGGGCTTCAGCCAGAGAGCCAACCTTTACCTGCACCAGCGTGTCCACACTGGGGACAGGCCATTCCGGTGTGAGGCCTGTGGGAAGTGCTTCAGCTGGAGCAAGGACCTGGGCATCCACCAGAGGGTCCACACAGGAGAGCGGCCCTACAGGTGTGGGGCTTGTGGGAGGGACTTCAGGCATCGCTCGGCCCTCAAGAGGCACCAGAGGGTGCACACAGGGGAGAAGCCCTATCCCTGTGCCGTGTGTGGGAAGGGGTTCAGTCAGCAAGTCCACTTGCAGACACACCAGAAGGTGCACTATAGCAGGAGGCTTCCAAAATTGGGCTCCACCCATGCAGGTAGCTTCCAGAGCCAGGGGAATGCCAGGGCATGGGTGCTGAGGTGCATATCATGGATCAGGCTTAATGGTATATGGCATTTGTTAGTGTGTAAACAGAAAAGAGCACAGATCATAAGTGTGCAGGTTGATAAGTTTTCACAAAATGAACATACCTGTGTCCAGCTCTTGGATGGAGAAACAAAACATTTCCATCCCTCTCAAAAGACCTCTGCATTCCCCCTTCCACTCAGTACCCCACAAAGGGAATCACTCTCCTGACTTCTAAACCGTAGGTTAGTTTTGCAAGTTCTAGAATATCATATAAGTGGAATTACACACTGTGTAATCTTTTGTGTAGGACTTCATTCACTCAACGTCTGCAAGAATCATCTGTGTTGTTGTGTATTCAGAAGTTCATTCATTTTATTGCTGAGTAGCATTCCATTGTATGGATGTACCAGAGTTTGTCCACTCACCTGTAGGTGGACATTTACATTTGGGTTATTTCCAGGTTTTGGTTGTTATGAGTAAAGCTGCTATGAACATTTGGGTACACGTCTTTGGGTGGACATATACTTTAATTTCTCTTGAGTATATACTTAGGAGTAGAACTGATGGGTATTCTAAGACTTTTTAAAAAACTGGTCACTTTTTTAAAAACTGTGTTTATTAAAGTCCTAAAATACATGATTGGTTTTCACTACATGTCAATATACAGAAAATAATTATGCCATCTAACAATATTATCTTGTACATTGGATTTTTACATGTACATGGAAAATTTCAAACAAATATAGAAATAGAACACTGTAACAAATTCTCATGTCCCCATCATCTAGCTTCAACAGTCAATTCGTGATGAATTTTGTTCTTTCTGTTCCACCTTCCTTCCTCACACACACTGCTGAAGTAGTTTAAAGCAAATCCTAGACTAGGATATTGTTTTATCTTTTTTTTTTTTGCTGAGGAAGATTCACTCTGAGCTAACATCTGTTGCCAAACTTCCTCTTTTTGCTTGAGGAAGATTTGCCCTGAGCTAATATCTGTGCCGATCGTCCTCTATTTTGTATGTGGGTCACCGCCATAGCATGGCCGCCGACTAGTGGTGTAGGTCCACGCCTGGGAACTGAACCCAGGCCGCCAAAGCGGAGTGTGGTGAACTTAACCACTAGACCACGGGGCTGGCCCCATCGTCTTTAAATACTTTGGTTTTGTATATGTATCTTCAAAGAATAAAGATTTATTTTAAAATTTTTTTTCAAAGAATCACTGTTTACTTCAAAAAAATTTTTTTTTATTGAGGTAAAATTCAGCTAACATAAAATTCATCATTTTAACCACTTGGAAGTGGTTGTACTGGAATTGTACTGGAATACAATTGAGTAGTTTTTAGTACATTCACAATGTTGTGCAGCTATCACCACTGTCTAATTCCAGAGCACTTTCATCAGGCCAGAAAGAAACCCTGTTACCGTTAAATAGTCACTCCCCATTTTCCCCTTACCCTAGCCTCTGGCAACCACAAATCTCCTTTCTGTCTCTATAGATTTCCCTATTCTGGACATTTCATATATATGGAATCATACAATATGTGACCTTTTATGTCTGGCTTCTTTCACTTAGCATAATGTTTTCAAAGTTCACCCATGTTTTAGCATGTATCAGAACCTCATTCATTTTTATGGGTGAACAATATTCCATTAAATGGATATACAACATTTTTAAATCCATTCTTCAGTGGATGGACATTTGAGTTGTTACCATTTTTTGACTTGTATGAGTAATGTTACCATGAACATTTATGTACAAGTTTTTCGTTGAGCATACGCTTTTAATTCTCTTGCGTATATATAGAGGAGTGGAATTGGTGAGTCATATGGTCATTCTGTTTCACTTTTTGAGGAATTGCCAAATTGTTTTCCATAGTGGTTGCCACCAGCAATGTATGAGGCTTCCAGATTCTCCACATCCTCACCAATGCTTGTTATTTCCTGTTTTTGTTTTTGTTTTTTTAATCATAGCCATGCTAGTGGCTAAGTGGTATCCTATTGCAGTTTTTTTTTTTTTTTTTGGTGAGGAAGATTGGCCCTGAGCTAACGTCTGTTGCCAATCTTCCTCTTTTTACTTGAGGAAGATTGACCCTGAGCTAACATCTGTGCCAGTCTTCCTCTATTTTTTTTGTATATGGGACACTACCACAGCATGGCTTGATGAATGGTGTGTAGGTCTGCGCCCAAGATACAAACTGGCGAACCCCAGTCCACCAAAGCAGAGCAGCTGAACTTAACCACTATGCCACTGAGCTGGCCCTCCTATTGCAGTTTTGATTTACATTTCCCTAATCACTAATGATGTTGAACTTCTCTTCGTGTGTTTATTGGTCATTTGTATATCTTCTTTAAAGAAATATCTATTCAAGTCCTTTGCCCATTTTTAAATTAGATTGTTTATCTTTTTGTTGTTGAGTTGTAAGAGTTATTTATATAATACAAGGCCCTTATCAGAATATATTATTGCAAATATTTCCTCCCATTCTTTGGGTTATATTTTCACTTTCTTGATGTCCTTTGATGCACAAAAGTTTTTAATTTTAACAAAGTCCAGTTTATTTATTTTTTTTCTTGATGCTTGTGCTTTTGCTGTCAAGAAATGGTTATCTAATGCAAAGTCACAAAAATGTATACCTATTTTTCCTTTTGACAGTTTTATGGTTTTAGCTCTTACATGTAAGTCTTTGATCCATTTTGAGTTAATTTTTGTATATGGTGTGAGGTAGGGGTCCAAATTCATCCTTTTGCATATTGATACCCAGTTGTCCCAGCACCATTGAAAAGACTATTTTTTTCCCCCATTGAATGTTCTTGCACCCTTGTTGAAAATCAGTTAACCATCTGTGTGGGTTTATTTCTGGACTCTCAAGTCAAGTCCATTGATCTGTATATCTGTTCTTATGCCAGTACCATAGTTGTTTGATTACTGTACCATTGTAGTAAGTTTTGAAAACAAGACATGTGAGTCCTCCAATTTTTTTCTTCTTTTTCAAGATACTTGTGGCCATTCTGGGTCCTTTGCAATACCATGTGAATTTTAGGATCAGCTTGTCCATTACTGCAAAAAAAAAGCCATTGGGATTGCATTGAATCTGCAGTAACTTGGAGGAATATTGCCATCTTAACAACATTAAGTCTTCCAATTCATGAACACAGGATGTCTTTCCATTTATTTAGATCTTCTTTAATTTCTTTCAACAATGTTTTGTAGTTTTCAGTATATAAGTCTTATACCTCGTTAGTTAAACTTGTTCTTAAGTATTTTATTTTTGTTGATGCTATTGTAAATGGAATTGTTTTCTTAATTTTGTTTTTGGGTTGTTCATTGCTAGTGTACAGAAATACAACGGATTTTTGTACATAAATTTTGTATCCTGCAATTTTGCTGAACTCATTATTAGCCCTAATAGTTTTTTAGTGGATTCTTTAGTTTTCTGTATACAAGATCATATTATCTGTGAATCAAGAAGTTTTACTTTTTCCTTTCCAATTTGGTTGGCTTTTATTTTTTTTCTTCCCTAATTGCCCTGGCTAGAACTTCCGGTACAATGTTTAAGAGACATGTTGAGAGCAGACACCCTTGTCTTGTTCCTTGTCTTAGAGGGGAAAGCTTTCACTATTAAGTGTGATGTTAGTTGTAGGTTTTTTAATAGTTGCCCTTTTCCTTCATTTTATTAATATAACATGTTACATTCATGGATTTTCCTATGTTGAACCAGCCTTGCATTCCTGGGATACATCCCACTTGGTTATGGTGCATAGTTCTTTTTATATGCTGCTTGATTCAATTTGCTAGTATTTTGTTAAGGATTTTTGCATCTATATTCATAAGGAATATTACTCTGTAGTTTTCTGTGATGTATTTATCTGGCTTTGATATTAGGGTAATACTGGCCTCATAGAATGAGTTAGGAAGTGTTCCCTCATTTTCTATTTTTTGGGAAAAGTTTGAGAAGTATTGGTGTTAATTCTTCTTTAAATGTTTGGTAGAATTCACCAGTGAAGACATCTGATTCTTAACTTTCTTTATTAGAAGTTGTCTTAGTCAGTTTGGGATGCTATAACAAAATACAATAGACTGGGTGGCTTAGACAACAAACATTTATTTCTCACAGTTTTGGAAGCTGAGAAATCCAAGGTCAAGGTGCCCATTCTTGCTGTATCCTCACATGGCAGAGAGAGAGAGCCAGAGAGCACACTCTCTAGTTTCTTCTTGTAAGGGTACTAGTCCCGTCATGGGACTAGTTATTTGCTTACTGATTCAACCTCTCCGTGTTTGACATAGAAAGACTGTTACATACTCCTTTTGAATAGATTTTGATAGTTTCTGTGTTTTTAGGAATTTGTCCATTTCATCTAGGTCATGTAATTTGTTGGCATAAAGTTGTTTAAAATATTCTCTTATAATTCTTTTTATTTCTGCAAGGTCAATAGTAATGGCCCCACTTTCATTCATGATGTTAGTAACTTGTCTTCTCTCTCTTTTTCTTAGTCTATTTAAAGGTTTATCAATTTTGTCGACCTTTTCAAGGAACCAACTTTTGGTTTCATTGATTGTCTATTGTTTTTCTATCTCTATTTTGTTTATATCATTTCTAATCTTTATCATTGCCTTTCTTCTGCTTACTTTGTGTTTCTTTGCTCTTCTTCTTCTAGTTCCTTAAGATGGAAATTTAGGTTATTAATTTGAGATCTTTCTTCTTTTCAATGTAGCAGTTTACAGCTATGAATTTCCCTCTGAGTACTGCATTAGCTGCAGTCCATAAGTTTTAGTATGTTGTGTTTTTATTTTCATTCATCTCAAAGTATTTTCTAAATTCTATTGTGATTTTTTTCTTTGATACACTGGTTGTTTAAGGGTGTGAATTTAATTTCCATGTAGTTGTGAACATTCAGATTTCCTTCTGCTGTTGATTTCTAATTTCATTGCATTTTGGTCAGAGAAGATACTTTGTATGGTTTCAGTTTTTATAAATTTATTGAGACTTGTTTTGTGCTCTAATATGTGGTCTATCTTGAAGAATATTCCATGTATTCTAGATTGTTTATTCTAGTGCTCTTGGGTGGAGTGTTTTATATATGTCTCTTAGGTCTAGTTGTTTATAGTGTTGTTCAAGTCTCCTGTTTCCTTGTTGATCTTCTATCTAGTTGTGTATCCATTAATGAATGTGGAGTATTGAAATCTCCAGCTATTACTATTGAACTGTCGGTTTCTCCTTTTGATCCTGTCAGTTTTTGCTTCATGTATTTTGGGGGTTGTTAGCTGCATA